TGTCTAGTAGATATATGATACTGGAGTCGTTGAAGTCCCCAGTGGAGTGTTTGGAGTTAGTAATGTTCAAATGTATGGTGGATTTGTTGTTCATATTGGTTCTTTCGAGGGGAAGACTGGCAGATTATCTGTTGGTGATAAAGTAATATGTAAGGTGACTTTTTCTGTTACACAACCTCAATCTTACACGCACCACTCCATTCGTTTCATACATGCATATTGATTGCATTTTGGCTGTCATTTGAATCTGTTCTCTTCTGGGCTCAACAGGTGAACTATGAGAGGCGCAAGCTGATAGCTCCGAATCATACCTGTACACATATGTTAAATTTTGCTCTAAGGGTAACTATCTTATATGAGAACTTCTGTGAGCTTGCTAGAATCCAATCTTGATGCTCTATGATTAGTTTCTCTAGTTAAAATATCTGAATGCTTTGAAATAATTGCAGGAAATACTTGGTAATCATGTTGACCAGAAAGGTTCCATTGTTCTTCCTGAGAAATTGAGATTTGACTTTTCTCATGGTAAGTTTATGTGGTGTTAGTTATAATAGATTTCAGAAACCTATTCCAATGCTCTTAAAATTTAACAGGGAAGCCTGTAAAGCCTGAGGATCTGAGGAAAATTGAGACAATTGTGAATGAACAAATTAAGTCTGAATTGGATGTATTCTCAAAGGAAGCTAGGCTGGTTGATGCAAAGCATGTCAATGGTCTAAGAGCTGTTTTTGGAGAGGTGATTATCTTTTTCTATTACACTAGTTTTTTAGACATGGGAACATTTCACATGATTGTGCTACCTGTAAGCGTTCTTCACTACAGGTTTCTTTTAATTGATATAGGTATATCCTGATCCCGTTAGAGTTGTCTCGATTGGTCGAAAAGTGGAGGATCTCCTTGCTAATCCTGAAAATGAAGAATGGTTATCTATCTCTGCGGAGCTCTGTGGGGGTATGTATCACCATGTAAATATGTTCTCTCTCTATTGGTGCCTTCATATAGGATTTGCAGAGGCATATCTACACTTTTGCAGGGACCCATATATCAAATACACGAGAAGCTAAGGCGTTTGCTCTCTTGTCCGAGGAAGGAATTGCTAAAGGAATCCGTAGAGTTACTGCAGTGACCACGGATTATGCTTTTAAAGCCATGGAACTTGCATCCTCACTTGAGCAAGAAGTAAATGAAGCATCAGAGACAGAAGGAAGCGTTCTGGAGCAGGTTATTTCATATATATGTCAACATATTTAAAGAACACACTTGTTTTCACTCCCTCCATGCACGAAGATGCAAGTTTTCTTGGTGTATGTATGTATGTGTGTGTGTACACTCTATCAGTACATAAT